TTAAAAAGACATAAACTTGCATAGATCATATACTTTCATCTCTCTCTTTTTTTTTGCTGTTACTGGAGACTTAATTTAGGGCATTGCATATTCTGGGCAAGCACCTACAGTTGAGCTCCCTCGACAGCCCAGTCACTGCTTGCCTGCTCATATTCCCCTCTCTTCCTTTTTCCTTCCCTTTCCTTCCCTTCTTTCCAAGACAGGCTCTCATGTAGCCCAGGCTGGCCTAGAACCCACCTATGTAGCTAAGGATAACCTTGAACTTCTCATCCTCCTGCCTTCACATCCTGTTTGCTGGGATCACAGGCATGCACCCATCGCTCCCAGTTTATGCTAGATTCAAAATCAAACCTTGTGCATCCCAGGCAAGCATTCTAATAGAGCTATAGAGCTATGTCTCTAGCCCTGCCCTTATTTCTGTTTTCTGCCTTCTAAGGAAAAGTTCTTGTTTTTACCTCGTGACAAAGGCTATGATAGGTGGAGACAGAAAGTAGAGTGCCAGATGTTATATGATGAATTTTTTTTTTTTTTTGGTCTTTTGGAGACAAGGTCTCCCTGTAGCTCCAGCTGTCCTGGAACTCACTATGTAGACCAGGCTGGCCTTGAACTCACAGAGATCTGCCTGCCTCTGCCTCTGCCTCCCCGAGCGCTGGGATTAAAGGCATGCATCACCACACCCGGCTGAATTCTTTTTACATTAAGTTTTTTGGAAGTGTGCCACAATACATGTGTGGAGATCAGGGTATGGCTTGTAGAAGTTGGGTCTCTCCTTCCACTGTCTGGGTCCTAGGGATGGAACTCAGATCCTCAGACTTGGCAGCAAGCATCTTTACCCACTGAGCCATATATATCATTGGCCTCATATAATGAACTTGATCCTGAACTACTGGTTTTCTGCATTACTTACTAATTTTGAAAAACTGTACAAGCCGTTAGCCATTGTGGTTCATGTCTATAATCTCAGCACTCAGGAGACTGAGACAGGAGGACTGTCATGAGTTCAAGGACAGCTTAGGGTACAGTGAATTCTAGAACAGTCAAGGTTACATTGTGAGACCTTATCTCAGAAAAGAAAGAAAAGCCATTATTTTTTGTTTTTTTTAAAAACATTTTTAAAATGATTTTTTATGTGTATGAGCATTTTGTCTGCATGTACATAAGTGACACCATGTCATGCAATGCCTACGGAAGCCAGATCTTCTGGTGCTAGAGTTACTGACAGTTGTTAGCCGTCACATGATGGGAACTGAACCTTGGTCCTCTGGAAAAGCAGTCAGGGCTCTTTACTGCTGAGACATCTCTCCAGCCCATGTCTTTGTTTTTTTGAGATGGAATCTCATGTAGCCCAGGTTGGCCTCAACTTGCCATGTAGCTGAGGATGACCTGAATTTCTGATCCTTCAGTCTCCATCTCCTGAGTGCTGGGATTACAGGCATCTGCTACCACATTTAATTTATGGGGTGTTGGTGATTGAATTGAGGGCTTTGTTCGTGCTAGGCAAGCATTTAGCAGCTGCAGTACATCCCTGGATCCAGTTAATAAGCCATAATTACCTCCAAAAAGAAAAGAATGGCTCTGAAAGCTTTCTATATTTTCCTGTGTTCTGAACTCATTACTTTAAAATACCTAAAAATAAAAATAGTAAATTTGGATTTGAAATCCACCTGACTGTAGAAATATCATTTTATTTGTTAATTAAAGAGAAGAACTGTTTGAATACATAAATCTATTTAAATGGTATGCTTTGGGGTGGTTTAAAGTTTCCTTTTCTCCCTTGCTTGAGGTTACAGTCTCTTAATGCTGACTGCAAAGACTTTGGAGAGTTCATTAATAACACCCACCAGGAATTATGTGCACCATGGTAATGGTAAAACTGCATGTAAAAAGTTCCATTTACAAAGCCAGAATCAAGTCCTCTCCAACCCCCTTTCCCTCTGAGTAGGGAACCCCAGGCCTCTCACCCAGTGGAACTGCAATAGCGCAATGACGTATTTAATACTGGGAGTCACTGAGATAGGGATCTGATTTAAAATGCTGTGATCCGGGTGTAGTGGTACACACCTTTAATCCCAGCAAGCACAAAGTAGAAGCAAGCAGATCTCTGGGCGATAGAGGCCAGCATGGTCCACATAAGGAGTTCCAGGTCAGCTTGGGCTATAGGGAGACCCTGTCTCAAAAAACAACAAAGTGAAATCCTGCTGTGGTAGTTCATACCTATAATCCCAGCACTCGTAAGGCACTTCAAGACCAGCCTGGATGACACAGTAAGTCTCTAGGCCAGTCAGGGAGACATAATCAAACCATATGTTAATCCCCCCAAATTATGGCCCTTTCTACAAATTTTGTGGAATACTATATAGCTAGAAAAAGGATGAAGAATGAAGCTGTTCCAGGTTGATAGTGATGGAGTTGCCACTGAGTACATGGGCATTTGTGCAGATACTGAAACTTCTGCTAAGTACATTACATAGGTGGGAACAGCAAGGCTCAGTGTGTTAACTATTTCTACTTTAGTTTACAGACATATTCTTGACACTTCAGAAGCTGAGGCAGAAGGCTCTATTCTAGGACAGCTTGGGCTACACAGTGAAAACCAGCCTCAAAAGTAACATAACAAGAGCTGGGGAGATGACTCAGTGGTTAAGAGCACTGGCTAATCTTGGCAGTGGACAGGGGTTCTATTCCCAGCACCCATACCAGGAAGCTTACAACTGCCTGTAACTCCAGTTCCAGGAGAGCCAATGCCCTCTTCTGGCCTCCCCAGCCCCCCACATCAGGCACCAGGCATGCATATACAAACATACTGGTACGTACACACACACACACATACACACACACATACACACAGTAATAAATATTCAAAAAGAACACAGGTTACATAAAAATAGGATGGATAATCTGTGTGAAAAGATATTTCTGGAAGCTCCTGGAGAATCTGGAAAGGGGTCCTTGAATGGCTAGGGTAGGGAGCAGGAATCAGCCCCCAGGGTTGGGCAGGGCACACAAACATACAGCCAGTAGCAGGAGAGGAGAGGGGCTTTGGCGGAGAATGCTGACAACCCCACAAGGGTGAGGCAGCTCTGGATTCGGTACCCAAGTGCCAGGTCTGCAGATGCCCTTTGGCGAGCGGGGCAAGGCTGGACCACACCCAGCAGAGCCAGGAGTAGCAGGCACTGGGTAAGAGCGACAGTAGTTGGAGGTGGGTTTCTGGGTCGCATCGCGTGGCCACCAGGGGCAGTCAAGGCCACGCTGAGGGCCGGCGGGGCGGAGCGCGAGGCAGATCCCGCCTCAAGCTGGGCCACGGGTTCCAGGAGTGGACAGACCCCTCTCCTCCTCCAGCCGCAGCCACGTGGAACTAGAGAGCAACACCTCCTCCCTCCCCGAGTTGCTGCAGGATGGCGGCGTCATCCTGAGTCATTCATTCAATCTAGCCCACTCGGCGAGTGGTACTGCCGCTGTGAGTGTTTGCCTAGGCTGCAGCACCAGGATGCGTGAGGCCCAGTGTTATCATAAGCCTGCCGCGACCCAGGGCACACTCTTAGGTCCAGAGCAGCAACCAAACCTAAGCTTCTGCCTGCTGGTCTCCGGGGTTTCTCGTGGCTCCAATCCAGAACATTCTTTTTTTTTTCTTTTTCTCTTTCTTTCTTTTCTTTCTTTCTTTCTTTCTTTTTCTTTCTTTCTTTCTCTTTCTTTCTTTCTTTCCTTTCCTTCCTTCCTTCCTTTCTTTCTTTCTTTTTTTTTTTTTTTTTTTTTTTTTTTTTTGTTTTTTTTGAGGCAGGGTCTCCCTGTAGTCCCAGCTAGCCTGGAACTCACTATGTAGACCAGGCTAGTCTTGAACTCACAGAGATTCGGCTGCCTCTGCTGGGATCAAAGGTTTGTGCCACCATGCCCAACTACACTCCAGAACATTCTTACAGCAGCTAGAAGCAGCTTTGGGTGCTCTAACGACCATATGATCTCAGACTGGGGCAGAGTCTGGGTCCCTCATCTCTGTCAACTAACTTACCCACCCATCCAGCCCAAACACCCTGTTTTCTACAGGGAACCCACCTTGCCTGCCCACAGACAAGCTCAGCTCCACTGAATGGGCTTCACACTCTTGGGCTGGACAAGCACTTGTCTTAATGTTTCACTATTCCTCAAACTTGACATCTTTTTAAAAACATATGTGTCTGGGGCAGGAGAGATGGCTCAACAGTTAAGAATACTCACTGTTCTTGCCGAAGACCCAGGTTTGAATCACAGCACCCTCATGATAGCTAACAACTGTCCGTAACTCCAGTCCCAGGGGATCCTACAGTCTCTTCTGACCTCCGAGGGCATGGCATAACATGGGTGCACTTACGTACATGTAGGCAATACACGCATATACATAAAATAAATTTTACAAAATATTAAAGAAGTGTCAATGTATGTGTATGTGTGAGCTAGGGTGTGTATGCCTGTATGTGGGTGTGTGACAGAGAGGGTAATGGATCCTCAGAGCTGGGGTTACAGGTATTTGAAGGGCCACCAGCTTGTTAAGTGAATTCTGGGATCCAAACTCTGGTATTCATGATTGTGCAAGTGTTCTTAACCCCGGGTTTGCTCCAGCCTCATGTGTCATGTCTCTAGAGCAGTCTCTAATCCACGTGAAACCCTGAGAGAGCTACTTTAATGTCACCTCAAATCTGGTCACTTTTACCCCTTCCTCAGTCCTTCATGTCTCTGAGATCAATGGTTTTCTCATGGAAACCCTAATCAGTCCATGCTACAGAAGCCCAGCACCTATTGTGCCTGTGTGAGCAGGGCTCAGTAAACACACTTGTGACAGGCTCACTTAGCAGGTCAGCTCCTGACCGTCAGGTGCTCAGTACCTCAAACCCTGTTTGTTAAAGTGCAGGTGAAGAACAGAAAGAACGTTAGGGTTGAAGGGACTTGGAGAACCCCACCCTCATCCCCAGGGTGGCAGAGCCAAGACCAGAAATGCTTCTCCCCCATGCAGCACACAGAGCTTGGGCTGTGGTTCACAGAGTCAACACAGTTTATTACTGAACTGCACTTTCACCTTCACACAGACTATTTCAAAGAGCTGGAACAAGTGTCAGGTAGGAGCAGGGGAGGGACAGGTGCCCCTCAGAAGCCAGGACCCCCAGTGGGCTTCCCTGGGCAAGGGCAGGGAGGGAGCATCAGGCTGTCAGTCTCCGGGCACCAGCTCTACACGTGCACGCGCACAGCAAGCCAGCAGCTCCTCACACATAAATACAGACACGCTTAACAAAAATAGTATATCATCTTCACAAGGAATAAAAACTAGTCTCGGATATGTACAGCAGAGAGCCTGGGGTAGCCAGAGCTGGGCTGGGACCCCCGCAAGGGATGAGACAGGCCGAGGGTGGAGCAGGAGAGAGGCCTGAAGGGCTCTGGCCAGGCCACTCTGACCTTGACAGCCCTGCTGCCCAGGCTGGGTGGGGGCAGGGCACAATGTACCTGGCTGGGTAGTACAGGCCCCTCCAACCTCCTCACCCAAGCCCTGTGCACCAGGCTCTCCTTCCTGCCCTTCCTGCCTGAGGTAGGGAAGACCCCAGGGCCCCCACAGCTGCTCCATACAGCTCCCCTTCACTCCTGAGTGGAGGCCTGAGCCCCTGGACCCCATGGCCAGCACCCAAGGCAAAGATGCCACAGGCTGATCTTGCAGGAAGTGAGGCAGCTGAAGTCATAAACAGCTCTGGGGCACCTGTCTTGGGCCCAGTTGGTCCCTCAGTCATGGTCATGGGAGCCAGGGTAGGGGCTGAGAAGGGACCAGGGTGGTGCTAAGCTGCAAGAGCCACTCCAGCTCTAGCAAGGATACTTTCTGCAGCTGGGCCCCTCCTCCTGGGCGGGGCTGGCCTCTAGCCAGAGGCTTCTGACAACATTCAGACCAGGATTGAGGACTGTCACCAGGCCAGAGGTGGGGAGGAGGGCCTGGTCCTTGTTTCTTTATCCCAAGCAGCCTGAATTTCTAATAAGTCAAAGGGGTCTCTGATGGCTCTTGGGGGTGGAGATGGGAAGGGGGGGCCCAGGGCCACAGGGGGATGGGAAACAATCAATTCTGAGGCCACAAACATCAAAACAAAGGCAATCTAGTCTTTCTGGGGAAGAGGTTTAGAAGGCTTTCCAGCTCCCTGCCAGAAAAGCCTTCCCATGAGGCTCAGGGGTAAGGAGGGTCCCACTACTTGCTGGGCCCTCTTGCCCCCAGCACACCCCTCCCACCCCTGCCGGCTTCCAAGGGGCAGACTTGGGGGGAACCTTGTAAATTCTGAGGCCAAGTGAACTGAGATGTGGGGGAAGGTGGCTCTTATAGAAGCGTGGTAGGTTCTAGAAAGCTAACTGCAGGGCACTCAGACTGGTCCCAACCCTGTGATGGGGGAGGGGCATGAGTTGCATGTAGTGGTTCTCCTGGTTGCAATGGTGGCTGAAGAAGTTGTGATGGGGGCAGGGTGGGGGCAGAGGGTGAATGGGTAGTCAGTGTCTGGTCACTTCCGGCTAAAGAGTGAACCCAGAAGAACCACACCAGCCACAGTCATGCCCGTCAGGAACCAGCGGTTGAAGCGCTCCTGGCCTTTCCGACTCTCAGCTGCTGCGTTGTTCCCATAGAGTTCCACAAAAGTGTCCTATAGGAAAGAGAAAGAAAGACATTGTGTGAATCCTTGCACAGATGGGCACGAGAAAAGGTCCATACTGCAATGGCCTTGGCGTCCTTGGTGGGGGTGAATGCCTTTAATCCCAGCACTCAGGAGGCAGAGGCAGGTGGATCTCTGTGAGTTCAAAGCCAGCCTGGTCTACACAGTGAGTTCTAGGTCAGCTGGGGCTACAGGGAGACCCTGTCTCAAAAAAGAAGACAACAAAAAAACTGTAGCCATCATTGTCCACCATGGGCCCTCCTTCTTGAGCCCCAGTTGGGGAAGACCAAGTGAACTGACTGCTGAGAACACAGATGCAGAGAGCAAAAGAGCTCAATCTTAAGGTTCAACAGACAGCTTGGAGGGAACACAGGTAGAGACTGCCAGCAGACAGGGGAGTGCAGGAGGAGGCATGAGACAGATGGGGAGCAGGAGCACCCACAGCAGTCCCAGAGGCTGAATTAGAGACCAAGAGGTGTGCAAGGCTGTAGGTATACCAAGGGGATGGGGATTCTCACAGTGATCCCACTGGGACAGATTAAGCTAGTGGGTCTTCAGGCTTTCAGTCAGAGCTTCCTTCTCTCAGTAGAGGGGACCTCAGCCAGGGCAGGCTGGTAGGAGGGAGAGCAAAGATTGAACAAGGATGCAGGACAGGGAGGCCATTCCTGCCCTCCAGCCCAGGACTGTAGTCTGGGTCCAGGAGGAGGTAACAGCCCTCTGCCCTGAAGCCCAGTCAGCAGGAAAGCACATGATTCAGGGAATGAGGGGCACAGCCAGCATGTTGGGGTCATAAGCTTTGCACTCAGCAGAGCTGCACTGGGCCATCTCTTCTCCATGTACAAACTAGGAAGCTGGGGCTCTGAGGGGCAAGGGACTTAATCAAGGTCACTGGTAGAATGAGAATCCAAACCTGGTGCCTGGCCCCTAGAAATAAGAGCTCAGCATGTATCTGTGGAATGACAGGATCCCAAGCAGGCTCCAGAGCCCATGCTGTCGCTTCTATGGGGCTGTCTCCATCTGGTCCCAACTGGCTGAGTGGAGGCTCCTTGACAGACCTCCTTCTCCAGGTGGCTCCAGGCCCCACCTGCCAGTGTACTCACTTGGCATACAGCCTGGTCCCATTTCTGGTCTGCTAACATCCCATCCCTCAGCCCCCCACTGCCATGCTCACAGAGAAGACTGCTAAAAACACAGGTCAGATCCTAGCATGCAGTGCATGCAGTCCTCCACCCTAGCTTTCCCTGTACTCAGCAGGGCATCTCTGTACCCCTTGGTACCTAGCAGATGCCACAAGTCCTGAGCAGACTGAAGTGAACGTATCCTCAATATTTATGATGCTATCGGAGAGACAGCAGTGAGCCATGAGCACTTGCTGCAAAGCTCCTCTTCCAGCTGGGGAAAAGGCTCTGAAGTAGCAGGCAGATTCGAAAACCCTTCCTTCCCTCCCTACAGATAGCACTGCACCCAGCTCTCTTCCCAAGGCTTCCTCACACCAGAGCAAAGTCCCCCTTCCCCCTCACAGCAGCAGTCTAGGGAGTCTCTCTGCCCCTTTGCTCTAGCCATATGGTCTCTGTTGACCCTCCTGACCACACTGTCTGGTGCCCACCCCACCTCTGCCCACCCAACCTTGTCTTAGGTCTTTCCCCAGCAGATCAACTTCTTTTGCTCTCCCCTCCCTCTTTTCTAGGCACAAGGTCTGGCCTTGAATTCTCAATTCCCCTGCCTTAGCCTCCCAAGCCTTGGAAGCACTGGGCTCACATGTGTACAGCACTCTGCCCAAATGCTCAGCATTTCTCATGACCACACTGTACACTTTTTTTTGCTGTGCTTTGCCTCTTGCATTGGATGTGTTGCATAATGTTTCAGCCAACAACACACACACACAGGACAGCAGTCCTGTAATATTAAAATGGAGCCTAGTGAAAGTTTAGCATTTGCAAGGTTACAACAAAACACCAGTTAGGGGACAGTGAAGCACAGTTGGGTATGTTGGTGCACACCTTAGCCCCACTGCTTAGTAAGAGGTAGGACGATGGAAAATTCAAGGTCATCCTCAGCTATATAGAGAGTTTGAAGCCAGTTTAGGCTACAAAATTCTGTCTCCCCCGGCACCAAAAAAAGGAGCCGGGTGTGGTGGTAAACACCTTTAATCCTAGCACTTGGAGGCAGAAGAGGTGGATTTCTGGACGTCAAGGCCAGCCTGGTTTATATAGCAAGTTCCAGGCCAGCTGGAGCTACAGGGAGACCCTGTCTCAAGAAACCAAAAAAGCTGTCCAGCTGGGCTTGGTGGCACATGCCTTTAATCCCAGCACCTGGGAGGCAGAGGCAGAGGCAGGTGGATCTCTGTGAGTTCGAGACCAGCCTGGTCTACACAGCAAGTTCCAGGTAAGCTGGGGCTATTAAGGGGACCCTGTCTCAAAAAGACAAAAACAAAAAACAAAAAACAAAAAAAACCCCAAAAGTGAACACAGAAGTTAGTATAGTGTGTAATACTTGATAATGATAGTAACTCAGTGGCTACCATTTCTGATTGTACTTTTACTTACATGAAAAAGTTTTCCACAAAATGATGTGCAGTGGCAGGCTGGCAGTAGCCTCCAATCCCTCCTGTTTGTCACGTATCTTCATTGCATCACATTCTCTTTCGCTACCATCCAGGTTTAAGTACACCCTGATGTTCACACAACAAAGTGGCCTAATGACACACTTGTTAGTTCATATCCTGGACGTTAAGCAACAAAGGACTGAATACAAGTAGAACAAACATACTGCATGGGTATTGAGTGCCAAGCATCATTACTCCATCTTCTCTTAAGGGCCTCAGAGATAGGTATGAGTCCCATTTCCCAGCTGAGATAAGATGTCTGAGGCTTACAGTAGGGAACACAGGTAGCAGAGAGAGGCTGTGGGTTGGGTGTAGAACATATGTGGCATGCACATTCCTGGGTCTATCGTCAGCAACTCAGACTGAGCACTGCCAGTGGGACACTTTCTTTCTGTTGGGAAAGGGAGCCTGTCCCCTGTCAGTAGTGCCACAAGGTTCTAAGGCAAAGACACTGTGGCAGTGGGGCCAAGAGGAGCCCAAGAGCTGCAGACAACAGTGGCTGGCTGGGCCTTCTGTTTCATCCATCCTGGCCAGCCTCTGTGAGTCTTGGAAGATAAGAAGACACTTGAGGTCAGGCATGGTAGTATACACCTTTAATCCCAGTACTCAGGAGGCAGAGGCAGGTGGATCTTTATGAGATCAAGGCCAGTCTGGTCTACATAGTGAGTTCTAGGCCAGCTGGAGCTATAGGGAGACCTTGTCCCAAAACAAATAAACAAAGAGAACGGTTGAGGGCTGGGTATATAGCTCAGTTGACAGAGGGTCTGGCTAGAGTGCTGGAAGCCTTGGATCCCTGGCACCACATAAACTTGGTGTGGTAGTACATGCCTGTTATCCTAGCACGGGAGAGGGTGGGGGTAGAGGCAAGAGGATCAGAAGTTCAAGATCACCCCCAGGTACACCAGGAGTGGGAGGTCAGCCAGGGATACATAAAACCCTGTCAAGAAAGAAGAGAAGAAAAGAGAAAAGGAAAGAAGGAGGAAGGAAGGAAGGAAGGAAGGAAGGAAGGAAGGAAGGAAGGAAGGAAGGAAGGAAGGAAGGAGAAAACCCTTTGAAAGGTTAAATTTCCTGTTCCAAAGTTAAGTAGGTCTAGGCAGAATGACAGAAGGACATGTGATAGGGAGCATTCCTGGGCTGTGGGGCGGACAGGAAAAAGGCTAGCAACTAGAAGCCTTGGCTATCCCAAGGGGCTGAATGTCCCACAAGGACCCAGGGACACTGGGGTGGCAGCCAAAGCAGAGGGTCTGGCTCCCATGATGGGAACTTTCCTGAAGTAGAGGGCTGGCAGCCACAGGAAATTTTCAGCTCTGAGGCTGGTCTGGAGTAAACAGGTCCTGTCCCCACAAGGACACAAAGCGTTCACTGTTCAGAGACTGTCATTCCAGGGAGGAGGGAACACAGAACAGGGCACTGACCACTCCTGTCCCTGTTCCTGCACTGCATTCCTGGCTAGGGAGCTCTTACTTCAGAGCTCCTTCTTGTTGGAGGAGCAGGGCTTAAGGGCAGGGATCTGGGGATTGCTTTTGCAAAAAAGTTGAGCAGAATGGAGCATGCTGTTCCAGGGCAGGGGCTGGAGGCAGTGGTGTGGGTATATTTAGCCCATGGTTCACAGTTCACATGGCACACTTGGAAACAAACACTGCCATTTTCTCAGCAGGCGGCTGCTCTGGGTAAATAAACAGGACTGCAGTGCTTCCAGGTCTGGAAAAGCAGAGATAAGCACCCCCTCATCCCCTCAGTGGCTCCCACTGATTTTACTCCTCTGTGGGCAGGAGATTAGGTAGAGGAGGGCTGCAGGGAGGGAGCACTCTGAGATCATGGAGGGTACAGGCCCAAGGGTCTCCAGGCTGGGTTAGAGTTTAGTTGGACAAGTTTCTCTTTGGAATTGAGTGCTGTCTTGGAGACCCATGTGGGAGGTTTAGGCTGGCTGGGGACACAATGGTAATTCACACAGCAGTCACATACTCTAGCCATACAGACCCGACTGAGTCAGGAGGGCAGGAGGGTCAACTGCAGCAGGTTCGGGGCACAGCCTAGACTAAGACCCTAGGTCTCCTGACTGAGTCTGGGAGAGGCCCAGGCTAGGACCATTTTCTTTTCTTTTTCTTTCTTCTTCTTCTTCTTCTTCTTCTTCTTTTGGTTATTTTTGAGACAGGGTCTCCCTCAGCTGGCCTGGAACTTGCTCTGTAGACCAGACTGGCCCCAAATGCACAGAGATCTGCCTGCCTCTGCTTCCCCAGTGCTGAGTTTAAAGGTGTGTACCACCACGCTGGGCGCAGGCTAAGACTATTTTCAAAGTGCTTCCTCCAACTCTTCAGGGCGTCCCATAGTCCTGGCTATACACACAGCAGCTTCACATGCTGCGGACCTCACACCTGGTGCGTTT